GCCAATGGTTGCCTAGGAGGCAGAGCTTTTGATGCTGACTGGCATAGAAACTGTCCAATCAGAACCAATATGGGTCAACTGTGAGGAGCCAATGGCTGTCTAGGAGGTAGAGCTTTTGATGCTAACTGGAATAGAAACTGAAAATCAGAACCAAATTGGCTGGCAGAGGAGGGCAGTTGGGGGCAAGATCAGGCTGCAGTGGAGGGAATTTAGGGGCAATCAGGCAGGCAGATGCAGTTAGGGGTGATCAGGCAGGCAGGGGAGAGAAGTTAGGATTGAGATCACGCTGGCAGGGGAGGGTCATTGGTGGTGAGATCAAGCCAGCATGGTAGGGCAGTTGGGGGCGAGATCAGGCCAACAAGGGAGTTCAGTTAAGGGCGATCAGGTAGGCAGAGGCAGTTAGGGATGATCAGGCAGGCAGGCAGAGGAGTTAGGGGTAATTAGGTAGGCAGGTGAGTTGTTAGGAGCCAGTGGTCCCAGACTGCGAGAGGGGTGTCTGACCACTGGTTTAGGCTCGATCCCTGGGGTCCCCTATTGGAGAGGATGCAGGATGGGCTGAGGGACCCCCGCCAGTGCATGGATTTCATGCACTGGGCCATTATTTTTTATATAAAAATAATACTACGAAGTGGGGATTTAAAAAAAAAATCCAGGAATCAGCTAATATTTTTTGTTCAGGGCTATACGTAGACTAAGTATTTGAGGCTTTGTGGGCTATGGGATCTCTGTCACAAATGCTCAGCTAAGCATTATAACCCCAAGGCAGTCATAGATAATATGTAAATGATGGACATGGTTATGCTCCTTAAAAGGTTTACTTATAAAAATAGGCTATGAGGCAGATTGGGCCCACAGGCCATAGTGTTCTGACACGTAAACTATTCCACCCACTCTTCCATCCTTCCTTCCTCCACACCCTACCCCATCCCCGGTCACACAAGAAGTAGAAGGTTTTAGGGAAGAAGATATATTGAACACCATAACTTTATATTTAGTTCTCCCTTTGTGTTTGTCCCCAAACAGTGTGCAAAATTTTCTTTGCTTTATCTTCCCTGTGCTCATTCCCTAAGGCAAGCATCATGCCCATGAGCTTTCCTACAACCAACTAAAATAATGATCAGGGACAACCCAAACAAATTGTTTCCTCTAATTCTATTTAGTGGAAAGCTCAGAATCTTAGATGCAAGGGTGGGAAGAACTTGCAAACCATGCTTGGAAATTTAGTAGTTCCATTCTTTCTCTGGCCAAAATTAAGATCTCTATGAATGTGTGCTTCCTGGGCATTTGAATCCTCAGAATTCAGTGCACCAGTGCTTCCTGAAAACCGACCACCTGCAGAACTGTATGTGAATGCAAAAGTAGAGATACATTCCCTCAAGGATCCAACAGCCTCATTGGGTAAGCAGAACACATTCACATAAGAAAAATACTAAACAATACTTACAAAGCCATATGTCAGAGAAATACATCTTCATAAAGTAGAAGCTGACAGCATCAGTGCTTAGAGGAGACACTGTAGAGGAATGATCAGAGTTAGGTAAGAGATTCTAGAGGAAGAAAGAGGGAATGACATTTCTTACCTCCCCCAATTCTTTCCAAAATAGGAAAGAAAAAAAATCTTTCAGGAGAAAGGAAATGCCAATTACCTTTGCTAACAATGCTTTCCTTAAGTTTAATGGTAGAAAGAACCCTGAACTACTGAAAAAGATGGGAAATATTGGAATTAATACTAATGTCTTACATACAAACAAGTTTATTTCAAATTTCATATGTATTCAGTTATATCAAAGAATTGATTGGCTGGCAAACACACAAAACTTGTTTAATACCCAAATCCCACACATCCCATTTGTTGACATTCTGTGTGCATTGCAACATCTACATGAGATTATGAAATTTTGGAAATTATATTTGGACTATAACTTGAAATTTTTCCTCTGGTGTATATATTATTAATGTTCTATTGGGCTTAATGGGAATAAATACAACATTTTTATGAATCAACTTGGAATAAAAATATATTGAGAGATGTGTACATTGTATGAAGTTTGGATATTAAAACTGTATATTCTATTGGCTTGCCTTTTATAATTAAGAATAATAATTTTTTAGTGATGTCAGAGGAATGGTGGCATGAGAGATCCCCTTGGCCTCTTCCCCTGAAATTTCAACAAGTTAACCAATTATAACTCAACAAAGAATTCCCTACTCAATACAGAGGCACATCAGAGAGACCCGCAGTTGCAGGCCTGCATCTGGGAACTCATGGCTCAGCTTAGAGAAGGGAGGAAACCAGTGGAGGCAGGTGCTTCCTTCAGCCAGGATAAATGGAGAGCAGTGGGGGGCAGTCCAGCAGGATGAGCGGAGTGAACACTGACTGAGCCATCAGACACCTGACAGAGCATGGGTTTCTCCCCTATAGATCTCCACTATCAGGCCAGGCAGTGGCATCTCAGACAAAGAAACGAAACCACACAGTCCTGTGGTGATATTGACTCCCAAAACTTTCTGCCCATTGTCCTTGGTGTCAGGGTGAGGAGCAAATTATCTGCAAACCAAGAATTATTGCAGTAGAAATGTTGTTTCCATCTGTGACTGAACCCCAAGTGGAGTGCTTGGGATTGGAACCCATTGAGAGCAGGGGTTACCATTACAATGAGGGCAAAGCAAACCACACCCCCAAGCAGTGAGACTGTACTGTGTTAAGGAAACAATGGAGGTCAAGTCTGGGAGATCACAGAGGTACAAATCATGCAATTCAGTGCCATGACCTGGAAAATAGTAGCAAGACCTTTTCAGAGAAAGCTGCTATAGAAGTCCATTAATATAGACAGATATACATGCAGAGGCAAAGGAGAACAGCAAATACAATGAATAAGCATAGTAATGAGGATGATCAGAGAGAAAAAAAAACCAGAAAGCAAGAAAGCAAGATGGAACACATAGAAATATGATTTAAATGACAGATTTCAAGAGTGTAGGTTGAGAAACTACAGATAGGCAATTCAATACATTCGGAAAACAAATGAATAAATAAAATGAACAATTTACCAAAGAGAATAAAACTTTTAAAAAGACCAAATCACTCCCTGACTGGTTTGACTCAGTGGATAGAGCATCGGCCTGTGAACTGAAGGGTTTCAGGTTCAATTCTGGTTAAGGGCATTTACCTTGGTTGTGGATACCTCTCCAGTAGGAGGCGACAGGAGGCAGCTGATCAATGTTACTAACTCTATCCCGCTCCATTCCTCTCTGTAAAAAAGCAGTAATATATATATATATATATATATATATATATATATATATATATATATATATGTGTGTGTGTGTGTGTGTGTGTGTGTGTGTGTGTGTGTGTGTGTGTGTACCTCAATATATATATATTTATATATATGTGTGTGTGTGTGTGTGTGTGTGTGTATGTGTATATATATATATATATAATTTAAAAGACCCAAATTAGAAATTCTGGAAATGAAGCATGCAATTAAGATGATTAAGAGTAAACTACTGAAAAATAAATTCTGGAGAAAATGGTGACCCAACAGGTAGACTTATCGTGCATTTAGTCTCAGAGCCAGACTGGAAATACAACTAAATTATAAAACATTCACCTGGAATTACCAGCTGGGGTCCAAAGGAGGAGGAGACATATTAAAGAAGGACAGAAAATATTTGGAGACAATTAGGAAGGGCGAGGTCAGGAGTGGAGCTGACCCAGCTTCTAAGTTCAGCAAGTCAGCAGGCCAAGAGTGAGGAAGGAGCTTCTAGCTAAAGGGGGGTCTTTTCCCTCAGAAGATAGAGGCCTGAAACCCAGGCTCTGGAGTCCACAGCCTGGAACACCAGAGCCAAGACCAACAGCCCAGGTAGCATACAGTTGTGAAAGATGACAGGACTACTGGCAGCAGCAGAGTCTGGAATCAGTATATTGGAGCCAGTCAGAGAGAAAGCCATAGTTTTTTTTTTTTTTTGTGTTGTTGTTGTTTTTTTACTATAAAGGCAGTGTTTATTAGAATACATGGTATTTCCAAAATTGAGTTTTCAGCTGTTAAGGTGTGTATATCTTATTTTTAAAATTTATCTTTATTGTTGAAAGTATTGCAGATGTCCCCTTTGTACTTTTTGTTTGTTCCCCCCCTCCCCCCAAAGACCTCCTCCACCCTGCACCCGGACCTCTCAAGTTTTCTGTTTTTGTCCATGGACAATACATATATGCATATAAGTTCCCCAGGTAATCTCTCCCCTCCCAGTGATTTCCCCTGAAATTTGTCAGTCTGTTTCATGCTTCTATGTTTCTGAATCTATTTTTCTTCATCAATTTATTTTGTTCACTACATCCCACATATGAGTGAGATTATGTGAAGCTTGTCTTTCTCTGACTAGCTTATTTCACTTAGCATGATACTCTCCTGGTCCATTTATGCTGTTGCAAATGGTAAGAGTTCTTTCTTTTTTACCAACACAGTTTTCCATTGTGTAAATGTACCATGGCTTTTTTTTTTTTTTAATCCATTCACCTGCTGATAAGCACTTAGGCTGTTTCCAAATCTTAGCTATTGTAAACTATGCTGCTATGAACATAGGGGTGCATATATCTTTTCTGGTTCGTGTTTCGTGTCTCTTAGGATATATTTCTAGAAGTTGGATCATTGAGTCAAATGGGAATTCCATTTTGAATTTTTTGAGGAAACTCCATACTGTTTTCCACAGTGGCTGCACCAATCTGCATTCCCACCAGCAGGGTACTAGTATTCCATTTTATTCATATCCTCGCCAATACTTGTGGTTTGTTAATATGTTGATGATAGCCATTCTGACAGGTGTGAAGTGATAACTCACCATTGTTCAATTTGCATCTCTTGGATGATTAGTAACTTGGAGCATTTTTTCATCTGTCTGTTGGCTTCTGTATATCCACTTAGAAGAAATGTCTATTTAGGTCCTTTGCCCATTTTTAAAAATTGAGTTGTTTGTATTCCTTTTGTTAAATTGTATGAGTTCCTCATATATATCTCTTCATATATTTGCATTTCATCCTTTCACCGGGGTCATGCTGATTGTCTCTGTATCATTCCAATTTTAGTATATGTGCTCCTGAAGCAAGTGCCTCATATATTTTTGAAGTTAACCCCTAATCAGATGTACAATGGCAAAAATGTTCTCCCATGCATTGAGCTCTCTTTTCACTTTGCTGATGGTTTCCTTTGCTGTGCAGCACCTTTTGTTTGATGGAGTCCCATTTGTTTATTTTATCCTTTGTTTCCTTTACCCTAGGAGTTATATCAATAAACATTTTGCAATAAGAGATGTTTGAGATTTTGTTGCCTGTGCCTTCTTCTAAGATTTTATGATTTCACGACTTACCTTTGGGTCTTCTACCTATTTTGAGTTTATTCTTGTGTATGGTGTAAGTTGGTGATCTAGTTTCATTATTTTTTGCACGTACCTGTCCAATTTTCCCAACACCGTTTATTAAAGGGACTGTCTTGACTCCATTGTATGCTCTTGCATCGTATGTCAAATATTGAGTGTAATGGCTTAGGTCAATTTCTGGGGTCTCCATTCTGTTTCATTGATCTATAAGCCTGTTCTTGTGCCTATTTCTGGGCTGTTTTGATTATAGTGACTTTGTAATATAAGTTGATATCTGGTATTGTGTGTGATTCCTCCAACTTTGTTCTTTTTCTTCAAGATTGCTGCGGCTATTTGGTGTCTTTTTTGGTTCCATATAAATTTTTGGAATGTTTGTTCTAGCTCTTTGAAATATGCCATTGATATTTTAATAGGGATTGCATTGAATCTATAGATTACTTTGGCTAGTATGAACATTAAAATGATGTTGAGTCTACCAATCCATGAACATGATATATTCTCCCACTTGTTTATACCTTCATCAATCTCTATATTCAGTGTCATGGAATTTTCTGAGTACAGGTCTTTTACCTCCTTGGTTATGGTTATTCCTAAGTATCTTAATTTTTGTTGTTGTTGCAATGCTAAATGGGATTGTGTTTTCAGTTTCTCTTTCTGAGAATTCGCTATTGGTATATAAAAATGCCATGGATTTCTGGGTGTGAATTTTATATCCTACTACGTTGCCAAATTCATTTATTAAATCTAGTAGTGTTTGGGGGAAGACTTTAGGGTTTTCCACATTCAGTATCATGTCATCTGTGAATAATGAGTTTTACTTCCTCCATTCCAATTTAGATGCCTTTCATGTTTTCTTCTTGTCTGATCCCTATTATTAGGACTTCCATTACTATGTTGAATAAGACTTCAGCCTCCTGTGACTCCCATATTAAATTTGTGTGATTACCATTAGGGACAACCACAAAACAAAGTACAGGGGTGGGCAAAAGGAGGTTTACAGTTGTTTATATGGGATAAAATACATGCAGGTTATGATTTTAATACAAAGAGAAACTTAGTGTTTACAGTTGTATTTCACATACATACTCATGCAGGTTGTGATTTTAATAATACAAAGAGAAATTTTGTGTTTACAGTTGTGAGCATTTCACATACTCACATACTCACATGTATAGTGGCTGCAACCTGTATATTTAAAAAAAGAAAGCCCTTGCTTTGATTTGACCTTTGAAAAGCTACAAACCAACATCTCTCTGCAATTAATTAGCCTGGTAAACTGGTGTTGAGCTATGAGGTGTTATGATTACTATAAACTCATATATTTTTCCACAAAGGTTTGGTGACTACAAGTTTAGACTCTTAGGTGAAGCCCACTGGTCATTTCATAATGTCTTTCCATACATTTGTCCCTCTATACACAGGAATTTTAATACTCTCTCCATAAAATAACCTTAAATAATATAAAGCAAGTCAGAAATTTGTCTTGAAATAACTGATGACTCATCTCTTCAAGCTTTTCAAGGACATATTTATACTTGGCACATACTATAAATAACAGCTGGTAATTTTACCACAACCATTTTTCACTCATTTCTGCTTTATCCACATTTATTCATCTCATATTCAGTCTCATTTAAACTAAATTGCCATTTTAGAGTTTGCACTGGATTGTGCCTATTGACTTGCTATGCTTTTTTAAAATATATTTTTATTGATTTCAGAGAGGAAGGGAGAGGGGGAGAGAAATAAAAACATCAATGATGAGAGAGAATCATTGGTCAACCTTCTCCTGCATTCCCCACACTGTCCAGGACCCAATTCAATTTTTTAAATTACATGTTAGAAAGAAGATTTGAAGTGCAAAACAGCCTGGCAGGCATGGCTCAATGGTTGAGTGTCAACCTATGAACCAGGAGGTCACAGTTCGATTCCCAGTCAGGGCACATGCCCGGGTTGCAGGCTTGATCCCCTGTATGGAGTGTATAGGAGGTAGTCAATCAATGATTCTCTCTCATCACTGATGCTTATCTCTCTCCCTTCCTCTGTGAAATCAATAAAAAAATATTTTACAAGTTATATATGGCTTCTTTCATAAAATTAATATTTTATAAGAATATATGTACTTTGAGGCAAAAATTCCAATATTTAAATTAAACCAAATGGATAGATTTTGGACCTGTAGAACCTAGAAAGGTAGGTCTAGTTTTAGCAAAATTATTCCCTGAATAACAATGAAGCCTATAGATAAACAAACAGAAAACATCATGCTTTAGAAACTTGCAATTTTGTGAAAAGGACAAACAAATGTAAAATTAAATGAGAGCCTAGAGTCTGGGAAAAGGGCATCAAAGAGGTATAAGCTAATGAGTAAAGGAGTAAAGGAATGGCCAACATAAGTTCTGATAGGGAAACTGGAAAATTTCATATAAAAAGTGAAATTGAAGTAGGGTGCAAAGGCAACCCAGAGGATAGGAAAAGCCCAAGTTATGGAGCTGTGGTAAGAGCACTGCAGGAATGTTGAGCACTGGCTTACACATTTTGTTCCTCTCCTGCTTCCTCTATGCCCTGCCCATTTCTATCCAGGTAGTCAGCATATTATTACTCTAATATTTGCATTATTTCATTACTAGAGGCCTAGTGTTCAAAATTTGTGCACGGGGGGGGGGGGGGGTTCCCCCTCAGCCCCGCCTGCACCCTCTCCAATCCAGGACCCCTCAAGGGATGTTGGACCTGGGACCACTGACTCCTAACTGCTCACCTGCCTGACTGCCTGATTGCCCCTAACTGGCCCCCTACTGGCCTGGTCACCCCTAACTGCCCCCCTGCCGTCTTAGTCATCCCCACCTCACCCCCTGCCAGCCTGGTCACCAATCACTGCCCCCCCCTGCAGGCTGGTTGCCCCTCATTGCCCCTCCTGCTGGTCTGGTCACCCCATACAGCCTGCTGTTTGGTCGTTTGGTCACCCCTCATTGCCCCACCTGCTGGCCTTGTCGCCCCACGCAGCCTGCTGTTTGGTCATTACTGTGAGGACATCCTGATCAATTTATATATTACCCTTTTATTAGTATAGATGGTTATTATCACATGATTTTTTCCCTTTTTAAGTATTTTACATCTGTATGAGGGCAAGAACTAGGACTTTTTCTTTTGTATACCCTAAACTGGTAATACAAATACTAAATAAATAAATATTACAATAAGAGCTGGAGATTTAAGTTAATGTGAAAAATGCATTAAGAGCCCTAACCAGTTTGGCTCAGTGGATAGAGTGTCGGCCTGCGGACTGAAGGGTGCCAGGTTTGATTCTGGTCAAGGATGTGTACCTTGATCGTGGGCACATCCCCTGTAGGAAGCTGATTAATGTTTGTTTGTTTGTTTGTTTTTTTTCTCATTGATGTTTCTAACTCTCTATTCCTCTCTCTTCCTCTCTGTAAAAAATCAATAAAATATATTTAAAATATCCAAAAATGGGTTAAGAAATATGAAGAAAATTTGATGACATAAATCCAGAAGCCTTTGACACTAGTCTAAGATTAGCCTTATTTTAACAACAGGACAATATACTACTAATAGCTTGTGTTGATGTACCAGTACCTTTATATATATTATCTCATTGAATTCTCACAACCACTCTGTTAAGTTTGTATTATTATCTTCATTTTGAAGGTTATGAAACCTAAGTTGGGAAAGTTAAACTGGTAACTTGTTCATTGTCATTGAGAATCTAGTATGTGACAGGTTTTGTTCTAAATGCTAAAGATAAATTGTCCCCCAAGACAATCCACACTCACACTCACCAAGCTTATGTTCTGCTTAAATGAGATCGACTTTAAACACAACCACCAAAAGAAATAAAATTCACACATGATGATAAATGGCCTAAAGGAGACTAAAACATACTGATATCCTTGGGAGTTACTAGAGGTAATACAGAAGAATCTACCTTACTCAACAGAACATGATATTCCCAATATTCCCGGGTTCAAGTCTGATCAAGGCACATACCTCGGTTGCAGGCTCCTCCCCAACCAGGGCCTGTGCAGGAGGCAACCCATCAATGTATTTCTCTTACATCTGTATTTCTCTCTATCTTTCCCTCTCTCTTCCACTCTCTCTAAAAATTTATGGAAAAATATCTTCGGGTGAGGCTAAAAAAAAAAAAAAAAAGAACATGGAGGAGAGTGGAGATGATGATGATGGCATTGACAATGACAGCAATAATGACTTGTCTTGAACATTTTTATTATTGAAATATAATAAATGCCCCAGCCTTTTTTTCCCATTGACCCCTTCCACACCATACCTGCCCTTCCCAAGCTAATTTTTAAATCACTATTTAAGAATGTTTTGCTAAGTGTGGGACTCTTGGCACAAGGTATCTAAGATGATTTGGGGTGGTATTTAAGATAATTTAAATTGCAGCGGAAAGGCATTAAAGAATAAACTATCACATAGGAAAAATGCTATTTCCATTTTAAATCTCTTCCAATCCCTCTAATTATGTCAAGAAGAAATTCTCAATTTGAGCTATTTGAGCTATTTTGACTTAACACCTCTCTAACATTTGCTGATCTCCTTTTTTAAACAGAGTGAGCAAGCCTTATGTTCAGAACCTTCAGAAGCCAGCAGTATCTAGCTAAAATATGTATTTTTTTCATTGTACTTATTTTTACAGTTATCCTCTATTTATGGTCAATGATACCAGTTTACCACTTATACTAATAGTAGTG